AAAAATTAAAAACGGAATTGATTGTTCCGTTTAAGAGGGAGTGAATGACGAGATTGTCTTTCCTTGAGTTTCTGTAAGCGGTTGACTTTGGATTTCTGTGATATTTGTGCTTGGTTTCGAAGGAGATTTGATTCCTTAATGGACAATATTATATTACTTTATTATTCTTCTAAGAAAATTAATTTAAAATCATGAAAATGCATTTTATAAAAAAAATCATGAAAAATGCAATTATTTAATAAAAAAACAAGGAATTGCTGTATTTCTTTAATATTTTGTCCCTGGTTTTTCTTTATTTTATTGCCCATGGTTAATTGTTGAATATATTTAAAAAAACAAAATAAAAATATATATTTATTTAATATTATCTCATATTATTATGATAAAAAATTTGTAATCATATATAATATTATAATTATATTCTTCATAAATCTATATTTATCTAATATGTAACGATAAATGAAAATTCACAGTTATTACCATTTAAAACAGTCAAAGGTAAAACATTGCACATAAAAAATAATTCAAATATTTGTCTTGAATAAATGCTTTTCTTATACATGTCAACTTCGTTCAAAATACTTTTTATTATTCAAAATCTAAAAATTTTATACAAATAACTGAAATAAGGATATATAATCTTTTAAAAAATTTTAATTAAGGATATAATATTTTTTATCTACTAATCAAGATTACCATATTTCAAAATTTTAATTAAAGATAAAACTTTTGTGATTTAAAACAAATGTGCAAAATTTGCTCCTCCTCAGAAAAAAACATGGCAAATTTGTAATGATATAAAGAAAAATAAATTCAAGAAAAATAAACAAATGGATCTACTGCCAACTTTTGTGATGACCTCTTATACTTTGCTATTGTGTTTAAAAAAAAAAAAAAAGGGCTATGCCTACAATATTTACGTACTTTATAATCTTATGTACATTATAATATAAGATCCAATATGACATACGACATATATAATTGATTTTTTAAAATTTTTTGATAATATTATATATATTTTTTATTTAATATTAAGTTAATAATAAAATTGTTTAGTATACTAATTAAGGATTCTATCTAACAAGAGAATAATAATTATTATTAATTTATTTATTTTTATTAATCAAACTAAATAAAATACTTTAAATTGTTGTATTAAACAACTTTAATGTCACATTATGTACAATATAATATTTAAAAAATTATGTTAACAATTTAAATAATTTAATAATAATTTTATTTTATTAAAATAAAAGGTATTAAATTCAATTTCTATGAAATATGAGTAGACAACATCGAAAAGGGAAAAAGCTCGTAAGCTACGAAATAATCCCGGTAATTATGAGAGAAAAATATTTAGCGTAAATACTAAATAGCCTTAAATCTCTCCAGCTGTAGCAATTGAATTTGAGTTAGTTCACCAATCGCTTCAACGGTTGAAAATGGAAGGACGTTTTGGCAAAATCGAAAGCTGGTAGATCCTTTTGGTAGTTCCCAGACACGACACGGTGTCACTCTTTGAGAAAAAGCAAGGGATCTCTTTCTCTTTGGGCGGTCGGCGGTCGCCGACGCCGATCCGCATTTGTCACGCTCTCGCCTAACTAAATTCCTCTGGGTCTGGACCATTTGGACCACGTGTGTGTGTGCCCGTCATCATTATTTAATTAATCATAGTATTTATTACCTGTGGCTATTATTAACCACGGTATTTATTACTTGCGGCCATTGTAATAAGAAAAGTTAAAATATAGTTCATTTTATAGGGACGGCATTCACTTAATAATAATGAATAATGAATAATGATAATTGAACGATAAAATGAGATGAAAATGGAGGACAAACATAAAGTGATAGTCATTTTAACAAAATATTATTTTAAATAAGGTCTTATATAATAGACAATCAACAAATCATATTATTGATCTTGTAAAATCATCTTGTATATTCATCCACCATATCATCATCTTCACATGATAAATAATCAGTAAATCATATCATTGATCTCGTAAATTCCTCTTATATATTCGTCTATCATATCATCAATCATCAATAATACATGAGTGAGATTTTTAACATTAAAGCTTTACTCTTCTTAATAATTAAAATGGTTTTTTTAATTTATAATTTAAGGATATAAATTAAAAATATTTTTTATTATAAATGTATATTAAAAATATAAAAACTAATTTAAATTTTAATATTAATATTAAGTAAATAAATTTAATTTAATAATTAATAAATTGAAAATTAATTTTTATTTTTAAATATAAATTTATAATATAAAATATATTTATCACACTTTCTTACTTAGATATTTATTACACTTTGTACTAAGGGCAAGATTTTAAAAACCCTAATAAAAATTATCGTTTTTGTAAGGCTTAAAGCCATTAAGGATCCCTGAACTTATCATAAAAGTTCATTATCATCCTGGTATCAAAAAATAATTCGTAAAAATCCTTGAACTTTGCTAAAGAAGCCAAGCGTGGTCCCTCCGTCAAATGCCGGTTAACTAGAGTGCTGACCGGTACCAATGGTTGCCTGGATGACGCTAAGAGTATATTTATTATTGTATTAAATTGTATAATAAAAAATAACCATTGTTAAGGGAACAAATCTCACCTATCGTTTTGGACGTATTGCCTTGGGCGCTAGGGTCTATTGTTTATTTGTTCTTCGAAAGAGGCCTTCCCAAAGGTCGAACCTTAAATCTTCCTTAAGAGACTTTGCGGGTGACCTCTGGTACTACTTGAGCTGACTAGGGAGGTCTCCTCCCAAAAAACAAACAAACAATAAACCCTAACGCCCAAGGCAATACACCCAAAGCGAGAGGCGGGATCCGTCCCCCTAACATGAAGGCCATAAAGGTCGACCTTTATGTTAGGGGATGGATCCCTTATCGTTGGTGGGTCTGGAGACCTTGGGCGTTTGGACCTATTGTTTACTTGTTCCTTGGGGGGAGGCCTCCTCAGGAGTCGAACCCGAGGTCTCCCTTAAGAGACTTTCGCGAGTGACTGGTACCACCTGTGAAAGTCTCTTAAAGAAGACCTTGAGTTCGACTCTTGGGGAGGCCTCCCCCGAGGAACAAATAAACAATAAGCTCAAGAGCCTAAGGTCTCCGGACCCACCAACAATAGGGGATCTGTCCCTTTACATAAGGGCCAACCTTTTTGTTAGGGAACGGATCCCCTATCGTTGGTGGATCCAGAGACCTTGGGTGCTTGGGTTTATTGTTTATTTGTTCCCGGAGAGAGGTCTCCCAAGGGATCCAACGCGAGATCTTTGTTAAGAGACTTTTATGGGTGACTCTGGTACCACTTGAGCTCAGGCCCAAGCACCCAAAGTCTCCGAACCCACTAGCAATAGGGGATCCGTCCCCTAACAACCATCTCTTCTCTTAACTCACTCCATTTAAATATTATGTAATTTAAATTCAAACCTCTTTATTCCACCAAAAATAAATTAGCACCGAGTTAAACACCCTCTTAATCTACTCAAACTTAAACTTTTTAAATCTAAAAGATTGAGCTCAAACTCAAAATTGAACTCTATTTTAAAATTTCCAAATTAATTTCAAACTTTTATTGAACTAAAAATCTGAGCTCGAATCGAGCTGGTTGCCCAGGCTTAATCGAGCTAGTTACCACTGAGTTAAACTCTATATAGGTGCGTACGTATGTTCCTTTAATCCTAATCTTCCTCTCATCCTAATCTTCCTCTCCTAATTATTATATGGACGAAGAAAAAGTTATTGTAGAATAAACGGCGGAGATGGTTCAATCACAACAGCTGCTGTTTGCAGTTATGGAAACGAGCCCCACTAAATGATGTGACACAATCATTTGTGCATATGCTGTACATGAATTCGTTAAATAGCCCCACAATATTACCTGCGGATCCATGGTCACGGCATTTGAACTTTTTTGGTTTTTACCATTACCCCCAAAGATAGGATTCACCTAGTTCAAAATTTAAGTTTAGGGGTCAACATTATAAAATTAATTTTTTTAAATGTATAAAATCAATATGATAAGGGATGTATATTTAAAATTATTTTAAAAAATTAATTATGATATATAAAAAGATTAATAAGAAATACCCTGATTGTAAATTAAAAAAAAAATCTATTACTATATATATAATACATGGATGGTTGGTGGAATCATTATATACAGTATGATAATGACACACACCTTTTGATTTTTGTCATTGTATAAGTGTAGGTGAATTAAAATAAACATGTACGTCTCATGCTGTGAAAAGTGTAAGAACATACATGTGGAGAGAATTCTTCGCCAAAAAAAAAGAAAAAAAAAAGAAAAAAAAAGAAAAACATGTGGAGAGAATTAGTTGGAATTAATTAGAGGTGTGGGATTAAGATACGGCAACGTGGAGAACAAGTCGATTTGGTGGAAAAATTGACATACCTAACTATTATATGGTGCAAATTCAATTCAAACTTAGCTAACAAGGTATGGCCTAACAAACTAAAATAAGGAAATAAGAATTGGAGGGTTTGATTGTTACATAACAAAGTGAAAAGAAGAAATACTTTTTGTTTGGTCACGGCTATGAGAGGTGACTTTAAGCCAGAGGTCACTCCCAAAAAAGAGAATGCTTGGAGTTGTTTTGAGTCTCTTCCTTTTCAAGTTAACTATCCAGTATCCAGACCCAAGGATTTGGTCTGACCATATTCTCCAATTACAATATGATTCCCAACTCCATCGTAAGACATTTTAACTTAAAAGTAAGTAGAGAGCTGGAAAATGGGTTTGGTCATATTGGCTTAAGTTAGATGATGAATATTAAACGAGTTGAATTAAATAAGTGTAAGAGTTAAAAAAAACAACTCGTAAACTACATTTATTTATATGTTATAGAGTAAAACAAGTTTAGAAGTAAAAAATGACTATATATAATGAATGAGTTGAGTCAAATTAATTAATTTGATCTAATTTTATTAGTTCTAAAAGCAAGCCATAAAAGTAAGCTTTTTTTCAATGGATGGATGATGTGAATTCAAAGACTCTCATTGACTATTAATTAGCCGATATGGTGCTTCTCATGATAATAGCATGATCTTCAATAACTGGATTAAAGTTTAATATTCTCATAAATAATGTATTATTTATACTAGTATGTTGCAACTAGCAATAATCATACTTCTTCATTAGCCATCTTTTTTTCTTTGTCGTTATTTATCTTTAGGGGTTGAAGCGCTTGGAATTTTGTAGAATCTCAACATGGGGTTTTTTTTTTTTTTTTTAATGTTTAGAGCAATTCAATTTTTTTAGTTGTGAATTTAATTATTAACCACATTTCATAACTAACTCATTATATTACATGATTGTAGAATGACTAAAAAATAATTTCTACGACTGAATTGCTACTCATTCCAAATATGTCTATGAGCATTATTAATTTGTCTCACTTTACATTGCGAAACTTAGACCTCATCACTCTGTCTCCATCCAAATAGACTGGTGAAGCTGGGAAAAAAAAATCAGACGACAAAAGGCAGTGATATATTGGAGAGACAAAAGTGAGCCAAGAACCAGCATCTGCTTGGAGCTTCTTCTCTGGTGGACTCTAAAGACAAACTTAGCCATCGATCCCCTAAACTGTCTGCCCCTAATGCACCCACCTGCCCTCTCCACCAGTCTCCACCATGGGCCACACCCCATTACTCAGGATCACCCCGATCCAGGGTTTTGTTGGTGTAAAGCAACAAAGCAGTGAAAGAAAGAGGATTTATGATGGGCCCTGACTAAAAGCTGTATTGCTGACAAAAAGAAAAAGGAAATTGTTAAATAGTACCATACTACATAGGTGGAGCCAGCACAGCACATGTCCAGGTCTTCCGCATCAAAGATTCTGAAAAAGCTCTTTTGATTCTGTAATTGCCATCATGGTGCTTGCTGCATGATGCGTAAAAATTAAGCAATATTGTGAAGAAAGGAAGAGAACTTGGTCTGGCCCCACGGCCCCCAACTGCCAAAAGAAGAGCTTCCGGTGACATGTGATGCTTAAAAGTTAGAACACACCCCAAGATCTTGAATGTGGATTTTTACTAGTACTAGTAGTATGAATGAGTACAATGTTCTTGATGGGCAGTTGAAAAATTCGTTACCCCATTCACTTCTAGTCTTCTCATTCCTCTTTATAACATGGTCCTATGTTTTACCATTCGGACTATTTTAGACATAGGAATCTTTAGATGAAGGATGACTTTCAATATCAAAGAGCCTTCTCCTATATAAAAATCAATGTTTTATAATTTGAAACAACTTAGATTATGAAACACATTTTCGTTATAATTATATATTATAGGCTTCTGAATTGAGTCTTGAGACAAAAGAATATTGAAATCTTGTCTCAAGCTTGACTCATATAAAAAAAAATTTACTTTATCAACTGAGTTACAAGCTCAAATGATATATTCCATTTGTCTATTTTAAATTAATGAACAAATCAAGCTTGAGGCCTTGAACAGCTCTGAGAGCAACTTTGCTTCACCCTTTATTATGGTTGGGCTGAAAGCTTGGGCTTTCTCATTTCGATAGGAATCATGGGATGAAATATCATTTTAGGTCCAAGGAAAAATGGACATAACTCATAAAGGATCCACTAATGGCCCAAAGAAAAAAATATAAAAAAGAGCAGAAGGATTTGTTCGTGGCAAGTGACACATCAGATCCATATCCAGGCGAGAAAGAACCATCTTCTTCCTAACACGCAACTCGATTATATAAAATGCTGTCCAAATCGCAGAGGTCCAACTTCACACTCTACAGTCCAGACAATTCTAACCTCCGAGCAGAATCACCATGTCGTTAATGGCATCCATCCTCCGTCGGAGGGGGCAACGTGGCGATGCTTTCTTCCTCCTTGTCCGATCGTTCTCCGTTTCTTCTTCGACTCCGGAAAGGATAGAGAAGATCCTAGTCGCTAATAGAGGCGAAATAGCCTGCAGGATCATCAGGACCGCGAAGCGGCTCGGTATTCGGTCTGTTGCCGTTTACAGTGACGCCGATAAGGATGCGCTTCACGTTAAATATGCGGATGAGGCGATTCGCATTGGACCGCCCCCCGCTCGGCTGAGTTACCTGAATGGATCTTCCATTGTTGAAGCTGCTGCTCGTGCGGGTGCTCAGGTGAGCTTGAATCACTATCTCATCCCCGAGCTGTTTGTATTGAATTCGTTTTCTGATTGCAGTCTTATCAGCATTACTATGGTGTGATTATTTGCTTTATGTATTTTCAAATGAGTTCTATCCATAATTTAAATTGTGAATAGTTTAGCAAAGGTCATATCCACATATTTTGTTGTCATGTTGTTGTTAATTGATATCTTGTTGACATGATGCTAGTAGTTGTGGTTGGTTTCAGCTCTACTGCCTGGTAGAAGCTTTGCTTTTGACTTTTGGAACATGAGAAGGCATGCTTATAAAATATGGATGTTTCTGTTGTTAATTAGGCTATCCATCCTGGTTATGGCTTCTTATCAGAGAGTGCTGATTTTGCTCAACTCTGTGAAGATAAGGGTCTTTCATTTATTGGGCCTCCTGCATCTGCGATACGAGACATGGGCGATAAAAGGTTGAAGGGACTTGACTTTCCTTTTTCTTGTCTGTAAGCTATATATGGTTTCTGTGATTATTTTGAATATTTGTTCTTAGTGATATTTGGTATGCTTCTCAGTGCATCAAAGAGAATAATGGGTGCAGCAGGGGTGCCGCTTGTGCCAGGATATCATGGCAGTGAGCAAGATATTGAACTGATGAAGTTAGAAGCTGACAAAATTGGATATCCTATCTTGATAAAGCCAACACATGGAGGTGGAGGGAAGGTATGCTGTTCTTCTATTATCTTTTGTCATATTTTTAATGCAATTGGTAATAACTATTTTTATGTTTGGCCAAGGACATGATCGTGCAAGTATTTTGCACTGTTTTAATCTTCTTTTCACTGAATGAGTTACAAACTGGTCACGTTAAGAAATAGTTTTTCATCATTTCTTGTAAGCACAAGATTCATCAAGGGTTATTAGTTTTTGACGTACAATTTGTTGATAGCAGCTGTTTAACAGGCTGGAGAAGGTCATTCTTATTGCATAAAATATTCATCTTTGAATTGAAGCTGTCGGCATCTTCATATTTTTAGGGCATGAGAATTGTACAAAGTCAAAATGACTTTGTTGACTCTTTCTTGGGAGCACAAAGAGAAGCTGCAGCTTCTTTTGGCATAAATACAATTTTACTGGAGAAATACATCACCCAACCAAGACATATAGAAGTGCAGGTACTATTGTGGGGTGCTTGTCCTCATTTTTTCTGCTCCATTTTTTTGCTACTGGATAGTTTTTACATTTTGGAAAACTAGTGTCATCCTCTCATCATCTGTACCTGCATTGAAGATGTTGTTGTAGATTTCATTGTTTATCTGGTTTTGTTTGTTGATTGTAAATTTCTTACTTTGCTTGATTCAATAGATATTTGGTGACAAACATGGCAACGTACTGCATTTATATGAGAGGGATTGCAGTGTGCAAAGGAGGCACCAGAAGATAATTGAAGAAGCTCCAGCTGTAATGATTACCCTCAATATCTTGAGTTCAAGTCTCATTGTAGATAAATAAAATTGTGACTGAAACTCTATTGATGCAGCCAAATGTTACTGAAGAATTTCGTTTGCATGTTGGTCAGGCTGCTGTATCTGCAGCTAAGGTGATGTCTTCCAAATTCATTTCTTTGGAAAATGTGATTAATCACTGCATGATATTCATTATTTACTCGTGTCTAATCCCTGCATGATATTTAAAGGCAGTTGGTTATTACAATGCCGGAACTGTAGAGTTTATCGTTGACACCACAACAGGCCAATTTTATTTTATGGAGATGAACACCCGACTTCAGGTGCTTTAATCCCTCTATCTTTCTATCATGAATCCTGAATCCTGAGAAGATCCTGCACTAGACTGTTGCATTCAAAATTTTGTAGGTTGAGCATCCTGTGACTGAGATGATTGTTGGTCAAGATCTTGTGGAGTGGCAAATCCGTGTTGCAAATGGAGAGCCTCTTCCTATGAGTCAGTCACAGGTGCCCTTATCAGGTGATTCTTTTCTTGCTGAATAAGGTCTTATGTTGGTACATCCTTTTTTTTAATTTTTCATTCATCAAGCTACCCTGAGTTTTCAGAGTGCAATTAAGCATGGCATTTCTATAAATTTTGCCTCCTTCCACCTGCTTCCAGGGTTCCTTATTCTCTTGATGGTTTCCAATTATTCATTGTTTGACAGGTCATGCATTTGAAGCTCGAATATATGCCGAAAATGTTCCAAAAGGGTTTCTCCCTGCAACTGGAGTTCTTCATCATTATCACCCTGTATCAGTCTCATCAACAGGTGCAATTCCTATGTCGAACCAAGTTGCAAACTTCTTGAGACTTTCAGGCTGGTCCCTATATGGCTAGTCATCTTTTGGAGGATTGTTAGGCTATGACTCTCTCCATCAGATAATGCTCATTATTCATTCTCTGATAGAACATTAGTCTAATAGTCCAGCCATTGCAGCAGTTTGAAATAGGATATGATACAAGATGATTAGAATGCTAATAAGATACTAAGATCTCTGATAAGTATCTGTCCTCAATTAAGCATACTATTCCTTTTGCAATTGCTTGTTGTATGTATGTTATATGGTTTTTTCTCCATACTTTTTCTTATATTGATTTTTTTTTTTTTATCAATTCACAGTTCGTGTTGAGACTGGAGTTGAGCAAGGGGACACTGTTAGCATGCACTATGATCCTATGATTGCAAAGCTTGTAGTCTGGGGAGAAAAACGTCCTGCAGCATTACTGAAATTGAAGGATTGCTTGTCAAAGTTTCAGGTATAATCATTTCAAGAATTTCTGTCTTCTTTTAAGCAAAAGAATTCTCATAGATATTTTATTTCAGTGATATGTGAATTTTTACATTTGGCTATGGTTCTGTAGTAAAAACTCTCTTAGATGGGTCTTTCACCCCCTTACAGCCACTCTTCTGCATGGTGAATTGATACCAATTATTTTCTTTGTCTAAACAAATTTGACTAAATAGGAGAAGGACATTTTGGATGATTTGGAAGGGTAATTGGTGGTACTGAGAGCCTCAATAGTTCAGTGTACTGAATTTTGGAGTTGGAAACTTGTTAGGCAGACAAATTGATTTAATGATCGTAAACTTTTATAGTGGTTGGTCTTCATCTTTGTTTGTTTTTGGATTCACTAACTTTTTTGGTTAGATTTTAAATTACCTCTTACTTTACAGTTCCTACATGTTGATAAGTTTGCTATTACAGTATTACTTTGACTAGTCAGCATATTCTATTCTTCAGATGTACTAATCTTAAGGTTTTTTGTTAATCCCACTTTCTTTGGCAGGTTGCTGGTGTGCCAACTAATATTGGTTTTCTCCAAAAGCTTGCGCACCATAGGTCTTTCGAAGAGGGCAATGTAGAAACCCATTTTATTGAGCACCATAAGAATGACCTCTTTGCTGACCCTAATAATAAAGAAATTGCTCAGCATGAGTTCAGTGAAGCAAGATTCAGTGCCAATCTCGTAGCTGCATGTGTTTGTGAAATGGAGTGCTCTGCTTTGAAGGATAGTCCTCCTGGTATGTTATGGTTGAAATTTTGACCTGGTATCCATATTTGCTCCTTAATGCTCTCTCAGATTTTTTGTTCATGTGTTTAGCTGGACAGAACTTGCATTCCATTTGGTATGCTCATCCTCCTTTCAGAGTCCATCACCATGCCAAGCATACCATGGAATTCGAGTGGGATAATGGTTATGATGATGTTAGCTCAAAGCCTTTGGTGCTTTCTGTCACTTATCAGCCAGATGGAAACTATCTGATGGAGGTAAAAACCTACTTAATTTGCTTGGTTGGTTTAAAAGCATGTTTTAAGTAACCACATTTTAAAACCATGCTTTAAGCATGTATTTTATCCTGACTTTTACTTTGCTTCTTTTCTGTCACTTTTATTAGTATTCGGTTGCCTATCTCATTGTCTCATTGATTTTCAATGTAAATAAAAGATTTATATTGCACTTACAGATGGGAGAGAATACAACCAGTTTGGAAGTCAAAGCAACACATCTAAGCAACCAGGACTATAGTGTTGAAGTTGATGGTGTGAGAATGCTTATTAATTTAGCTGTTTATACGAAGGTAAATCTTCAGACATTTTGTGTTTAGTATCCTGTTGCTTGTTCAGCCAGGGTACTGGTAAACTTGATAATTTTTTTTCCTTTGCTGCATGATACTTGGCTATTCCTAATGGCATCCATTATAAGCATGATTTGACAAGATAAGGGTTAAGTGTCCTCTGATCCACTCTTTTCTGTCCTAGTAAAAATGCTTATATGTGGTTGCTGGTTGGATCTATAGCACATGATCTTTAATGCTAATAGGCTCTTTAGTTTTTCAAACTCATTATCTGGCTTTGCATTCCAAGTGAAGGATTGGTTTATCTTTAACCATGTTTTGGTAACATCTTGTCTGCCACATGTTTTTAAATGTATAAATAATAATGTGGAGAGGTTAAGGCATAATACTCATATACTGTTTGTCGTTGCTTAAGAAAAAGCATAAAGGCACAGTTTGCCCTTTTTTGTATGATTAATTGATGTAACAACTCCTAATGTGGTTTGCAGGATAAAACTAAACATATTCATATATGGCGTGGGTCACATTATCATCATTTCAGACAGAAGCTGGGCCTTGAGTTGTCTGATGAAGATGAAACCCAGCATAAAACCAGTTTTGAGAACACAAGCCACCCTCCAGGGACTGTTGTGGCACCAATGGCTGGTTTAGTGGTCAAGGTACTTGTGAATGATGGGACAAAGGTGGAACTGGGGCAGCCTGTATTGGTCCTAGAAGCAATGAAGATGGAGGTGTGTACAAACATTTTGCTAAAATATGACATCACTTTGTTCTTTTTACTTAAGGTGCTTTATTATGCAGCATGTGGTAAAGGCACCATCTGCTGGCTATGTCCATGGTCTTCTTGTCAAAGCTAGTCAACAGGTTTCGGATGGTAGTTTCCTCTTTCGCATCAAGGTTAGTCATTTTTCAATTTAGCATGTGAAGAACAAGTTTTAGCTTTATTAGAATGGTTCTACCAGCACAAACATTGAATTTTGTTGCACATTGAATTTAGCATGTGCTGGCTTGTATAATTCCTCTTTAGAGTTTCCTCTACTGCAGAATCCGAGTCCATAAAGATGTATCAGTATAACAGTGAAGAAACTTCTTGTTGAAAATTTTAATTGTTTTCATTGACAGTGTTGAAGATGTAACTTATTTCAGAGATTGCTTAATTGATTGAATTTTTCATATGGATTATTTTCAGGAATGAATAGAATTCAGCTTCATAGTCTGGTTTTCATGAAAAAGTCTGGCTGAAGCAAACTTGGTGTACAGTTAGAGAGAATAGGCGAGATGCCTCAGCTGCAAAGCATGTCTGCGGTAAGGAATTAATTCATAATAACATCGGCAATTTTTACAACCACATCATGTGAAAATAAAGGGTGGAAAAAGAACGGAAAACCCATTGTATGCATGATGTAACAGCAACATATTCTTAGAAACTACATTTGATCTGCCAATAATGTGTTTCTATAATTCTATATTCTGGCTCCTTCCTGCCTTTTACGTTCTGCTTTCTGCCTGAAATTCTCTCTCCCACACGCGCACGGCACACACACACCAGCATACACTAATGTGGAGGATTAATGGGTACCTCCCATTTCCCTGCATGGTGCAGGCAAACATAAGAGTTTTCTTATGAGAATGGAGTTGATAAGGAGAAGAATTAACTATTTTCATTGCATAAGAGGAACCCCATACCATTAGGTTCCGTCGAATCATGAATGCAACGTTCACCAAGAAACGTCCAACTTGCACATATCCTCTAGGAAGGATACATGAATTGTAAAAAAAAGAAAAAAAAAAACATTTTATTGACTTTCTTTATTGCTTTCGTTGGAATTGTACAAGTTGTTTGTAAGAGATCATTTTGATTCAACGGTGTAGAATTTTAGTTAAGAGACAGAAATAATCTCCTGAATGACATAAAATTCTTGGTGAAGGATATGCCGCTTGTTCATGGAATTTGGCAGACGCCCATAGGAGATCGAATATATCATTGGTGACGATCGATTAGTAAGAATCAACCTGGGGCAGGCCCGCTCTCTAATTAGCACAACTTTTTGGTCGGTTGGCATTTCCTTTCCCCTAATTGATTTGGAAACGATTCATTCAAACACAACTTTTTCTTAGAATGTTCGACATGTCGCTAATAATTGAAGACCAAGAAATTTTTACCTTTACTAAAGAGTAATGATTCAGCGGACGAAAATGGGGGACGACAAATGATGCAAGATTTATGTATATAGTGTAATTACTAATTTGATCCCTTTACATCACTTGTCATCTCCCATTTTCGTTTCGCGTTTTCTTCGGCCGCATCATTACTATTTACTAAAATGAACTCATTATATCTTTTGGGAGTTGTGTTTCCAAAAACACCCATGTCTCATAGGCCTTTTTTTTTTTTTCCTCTTTCGTTTTTATCAAACTTGTTTTAACTACTTTCTTTAAAAAATTTAAGCATATTTGTTTAAATTGTTTAATGTTTTGGGAAAACTAGAAGAAAATTCCTCTACAAATTGCCTATTGTATATATTGACACGTTTTATGATGAACTTGTGCTAGTAAGCATCTTCGAACACGTTACCAAAGATACATAAGGTATCAATTCCATTAAGTTTTACGCATTGCATTTGATTCTATCCTAACTCACTTAAAAATTTTCAAATAA